TTTATAAACCCCTGTCACCTTGAGCTCAATCATCTAGAACATCAGCCCAAAGTCTGCTTGTGCAGGGAAGAAAAAAATAACAAAATAATGAGAAGTTAACTTTCCAAAATAAGTGTGTGTGTGTGTGTGTGTGTTTGTACACCCGTGCGAGTGCGCACACCACAGCGTGATGTTGAGTCTTATTAAATCTCTTATGTTTATTATTTTTTTTTATTTTATGTGTATGAGTGTAATATCTGCATGTGTGTAAGTGCACCTGTGTCATGCAACACCCATGGAGGTCAGAAGAGGGCATCGGATCCCCTGGAGCTGGAGTTACCCATGGTTGTTAGCTGCCATGTGGGTGCTGGGCATCGAACTTGGGTCCTCTGCAAGAACAGACGATGTTCTTAACTGCTAAGCCATCTCTCCAGCCCCATAAATCTCTTATCTTTTGAGATAGGGTCTCTTACTAGACCAGGAGCTCACCAGTTCAGGCCAGACTGACTGGGCAGCAAGCTCTGGGAATCCTCCTGTTCCCAGCTTCTCAGCGCTGGGATTACAGGTGTATGCCACCAAGGCCACTTACACATGGGTGCTGGGGATCAAACTCTGATCCTCATGTTCACGCAACAAGCACTTTACTGACTGGGCCATCTCCCCAGCCCCTGAATAAACTTGGATATGTCCAGGGCCAGCCCCCAAAGCTAACAGCAAGCCATGTGTATGCACAGTCTGCTCTTATTCTTGCTCCAGAGCAGAGGGAAATGTGACCCAAGCAGTAAGCTGAGGCAGTCTGGCTCCTATGCACAGTTGGAAGTCCTTCCCTGAACAGTTCCAGCAGGGGGCGGGGGGGTGGGGGCAGGGTGCGGAATCTGGTCAGAGCTCTGGAGCCAGGAAAGGCTTGGAGATGGCCCAGAGGAGTCTGCTGTTAGGGAGGAAGGTGAAGTTCTGAGGGTGTCGGGACCACCATGGCCTCACGGTCTGATGCCGTGGATGCAAGGTCACCACACGCTTTAAGGCTGCCTCACTCTGGACTACGCTGCCTCTTGGTGCTGGGGTTGGTTTGCCTTTGCCTGGCCTCACACCCAACCTGGTTTGATTCAGGCCATGCGCCTGGGTTAATGTCCACAGCGAGTTGTTATTCTGCCTCGTGGGTCACTAACACGGGAGTCGGTGGTGCATGGTAAGGAATGGGTATACTTCAGGCACACAGGTAAGAGATATCATTGTGAGATTAAGCACTTAACGCATGCAAAAGTTACATAATTGTTCAGATCACTGTGCAAAAATTAAAGTTGCTTAGGGTGCCACACCATACTGATCAGAACTATCCTGGGTGACACAGAAAGACTCTATCTACTGATATGGATTTAGACTTCATTCATTCAAACCTCACTGGTTTTGTGTGTGTGTACACATGTGTACATATATGTGGACACGCACACACATGTATGTGGAGGCCAGAGGACAACTTCAGGTGTTTCTCAGGAACCATCTCTCTACTTTTTCTTTTGAGACAGAGTCTCTCACTGACCTTAAACTCAAGAAGGTGAGACTGTCTGGCCAGTAAGTCCCAAGCATCTGCCTGCTTCTGCCTCCCGAGCTCTGGGTTACAGGGGTGTGCCACCAACACCTGGCATTTTTTTGTGTAGGCTCTGGGGATCAAATGCAGCTCCTCTTACTTGTAAGGTAAGCACTTCATCCACCAAGGCATACCCCTGAGCCCTCACTGCTTTTAACGTGCGTGATACAGCTTTAGGCTTTTTGGAACAACGGTAGTTTTCTAGGTGCTGACCACAGGCCTTCTAATTTATATGCACTCCCTGTGCCCCTCATAACAGGTATACAAGGTGAAGATGATCAGTCTATGCCTGAGGAATGAGCAGTGCAGCCTGAAATACAAGATTACACTAGCAGCCAGATTTGAATCCAAGCCTGAACCCAAAGCCCAGGGTCCCAGAGATACGTCCTTCTGGGGAGGAGCTGAGCTATGAACAAATCAACTGGAAACGTAAAGTGGGGTCCAATGAGTGCTTCAGACAGGAGATGTGCTGGAACTGGACACATCTGGGAGAGGGACCCTCAAGAGAGGGATTTCCTCCATCAGATGGGCCTGTGACCATGTCTGTGGGGCTTTTTTTTTTTTTTTTTTTTTTTCTTTCTTTTGGTTTTTTTCAGACAGGGTCTCCCTCTAGCCTGAGCTGGCCTGGAACTTGCTATGTAGACCAGGCTGGCCTCAATCTTCCAGAGATCCACCTGCCTCTGCCACCCGAGCGCTGCTGCACATGCCAGGCCCTGTAAGGCATTTTCTTAATTGCTTACCAGTGTAGGAGAGCCCAGCCCACTGTGGGTCTGGACTGTATACAGAAGGTAGCTAGCTGAGCAAGGTGGGTGGTCTGAGCTTCAGTTCCTGCCTCCAGGTTTCCGCCCTGAGTTCCTGCCTGACTTCCCACAAAGATGGACTGTCTCTCGAAGTATAGGGTGCAATAAACCCTTTCCTGCAAAGTTGGTTTTGGTCAGTGTTTTATCACTGCAAGAGAAAGCAAACTAGGACAGGAACCAAGAGGAAGAGAGATTACGAGACACTTGGGAACCCAGAGCTGGAGGCCGAGCAGTCACCATATCCTGTGGTCTGGAAAGTAGGGGTTCTTCAAGGAAGACCAGGCCAGGATACCACTTGCTGGGAGGCAGCAAGTCAAAGATGGCCTACAACACAGAGCGCTTGCCCTAGTGACTCTTAGGTACTGAGGAGGCCCACCTCTCTCCTGATGGACACATTCACTCCTGCTTTGGAACAGAGTCTCCCCAAGTGTAGCTCAAACATCTAAGTGAGAAACGCATCAGTGAGGGAAGAGAGAGGACGTGGACCATGTTCCCTTATGGTTCCCAAACCTGTCTCACTGGGAGGTTGTGTGGAGTCTGTGGAGTCTAGCCCTGCATTTAGCATCTCTGTAAGAACTGGTCCTGCAGCCCCTGTGTGGATCCTTCTCCTCTCTCCATGATACAAGTTCAGTATACAGGACCAGAAACTTACATCAAGATACATCACAACGGACATTCACTGAAACCACAGAAGCTCATTGAGGTTAGCACGCATGCTCCCAAGAGCCTCACTCTACCACCTGTCTACTCACCCAACACAGTCAGCGAGAGCCTGCGGCCAGCACTGGACTCACGGCACTGCCCTTGCGTCAGCCCCTTCCCAAAGCAGGAAGGGGAACGGTGTGTTCAGACGGCTGAAGAAAACATTAGGGGAGTTGGGAGAGGGGAGGGGACGTCACACGTTTGATGTGGGACGTGTTGGGGGTGCGGTTACTATCCCAGGGGAAGATAACGGGGAGGCATTTGAGATCTAGGGCTCTAGAGGAGTCGCCCTGACTACAGTGTGCCTCTGACCAGACAGGGGACTTCGACAAATGGTCATGGACATGGAAGCATGCGGACCAAGGGAGGCACACTGGAAGGGGCACAATGGACCTATTGAAATCAATTTACACCCCTTCCCCAACCCTCTGGGCTACCCTCTCACCTCCCTGCTGGTCCTCAGGGCTAAAAGATCTGTATACAGGAACACAGGGAGCTGAGATCACCCCCAGGACACAGAGGCCTCCTCTAGACTTCCTTGGAGGTAGATCTGCTTGCTGACCTAAGAGCACTGGTGGGTCTGGCATCCCTCCGCAGGCTCTGCTCTCACTCTGTCACTCTGTGACTCCATGAAAGCTTCCGGAAGCAACAAAAGATAACTTCCCTTATTGACCTTCAGGGCCGATTTGCCCCAGGGCGCTGGATTATCAAATCTAGTTTACCCAGTAACTTGGGCCTTTTACCAAGACCTGCTACCTACCTCCAAACAGGGAAAGTCTGTTAGGTGGAGTGAGCTGAGCGGGTGGCACAGATTCACAGACAGCGCTAATCCCAAGACACAAAGGCCTGGGCCCCAAGGTCTCATTCAGGAGGTCTGGGTGTGGCTTTGGGTCCCTCTCCCTGACAGTGTGGCCCCACCTTTTAGACAAGCCAACACCTGGCATTTGCACCCCAGAGGCCTACTGCACTGGGAGAGCCCAGCCCCATTGTATCCTCAAGAGAAGCTCTGTTCACTCTGTCCATACTGGAACGAGGAGGGTTGGTAGTCACCAGCAGCCCACCACTGCATGCCCTCTGGCTTGTGCCTCAGTTTTGGCGCACCTCCACATCCCCGACGCCTGGTTTTAATTATGCACAAGTCTTCAAGTTGCAGGGAAAGAAAAGAACTTTGCAAAGATGTCCGGGGACTCTGGGTCAGGCAGCACTTGGGGAGAGAACTGACTGGCTAGAGACAGTAATTTTCAGAAAACCTGAGCATCTTTTGCTGGTCTTCCTTCAACTTCCCCCACATTCAAGGCCACGTTCTCTCCTTGCAGTTTCCCAGATTAAAACTCTTGATAGAGTTTCAACACGAATCAATAGCGTGATTCTGCAGGCATGGTCTAACCTCTCTAGAAAGATTCTCCGTGCCCGGAAGGAATTTAGGTCAGGTCCAGTCCTCAGTCCCTGGACTTGGCTGCGCCTCACCACCCCGTGGGGATCCTAGCCTTCCCCAGATGGTCCTTGGGAACACCAGGATGGGTACCACTGGCCCCTGAACCCATTCAGACAGAGTTCATCAGGTCATCATCCCTTGGACTGCAATTCCTGGCAGTCAGACCTGGTCTACCTGCCAGCTTTCTCCCACCGAGACCCTGAATCCCCAGCTTAGACAGGCACCCCCTGAACCCCCAACCTCCTGCCTAGGAAGGCACCCTGAGCTCAGACCCGAGGCCAGCATCCCCGCAGCGCCCCCTCCGCGCCGGGAGTTGGTGCGACTCCAGTCACTTTCTGGAAAGGCTCCAATCTCAAGCCCTGCGTGCGCAGCCCCCAACACACGCTTTGGCAGCCCCCCCCCCCCCCCCCTAAAAACTGCGTAAACACACGCCGCCGGGTCGCTGTCCCCTCGCAAGGTCGCCACTTAAGACACACACACCCTCCACACCCCTGTTTACCAAGACGGAGCAGATCTGCGGAGGCCAGTCACCAAGTAGACTTGGGGACTGGAGAAGGGGACGCACCTAGGGCAGGTGGCCGGGGTCCCGCAGTCCGCAGTCGCTGGCACCTGGCGCACCCGGAGGGTGCAGGGACCGGACTGGGACGCACCACCCGGGGGCGACCCGGAGGTGGCCTGGGGAGGTCCCCGGTCTGCTCGCGCTTCCCGGGGCGCACAGCGGCCACCGCGGGACGCACGGCCGCCCGCCCACGCCGCGCCGCTCACCTCCCGGGGGCCGGTGC